AGAGTTTATGTACTCTATTATTTCAGGGTCCCTCTGATATTGGAACTCCTATAAGAGTTTGACCTGAATTCTCTACCAAATTTTGCTTATTTATAATCCTCAAGGCATTTAGCTTTCTCTACCTGTACAGCAATAAATCAAAATACATCTGAAGTTAAACCACACCATTGGATGCAGTTGCTGCTAATACTACCTTATAACTGCTCTGTAAAGATCTGCCTCCGGGAATAACAGTAATAATGCCTATTATTGTTATATAATCTTCCTCTTTGACTAACATTTTGGATTGTTTTTGTTGTCATCATAAACATACCATAACTTCTCAAAAAGCCCTAAGTTCTCAGACTTGAAGTATTGGTTCATTCTCATTGTTCTTAAACTCTTTCAGGATACTTACCGGAGAAGGCAGATGCAGCGGACCATTACTCGGCAGATGTCCTTTGATCTTACAAAACTGCTGGTTACCGAGGACTGGTTCAGTGACATAAGTCCTCAGACCATGAGAAGGTTACTTAATATTGTTTCTGTGACAGGTAACTTCTTATAGTAGATAATAAACTTGATCACATTAGGAAAGCAATTCAGTTTCAGAAACAAAAGGATGTACTGTGTTCGTAACGTTTGTACTGCTGTGTACCACTTTTATTTGCATTAAGTATATCTAATAAAACCTACATTAGTTTTGACGATGAAAATCAACCATCGGTTGTACACTATTATTTTTAAAACTCGATGACTTAAAAAATCTTTTATTTCACCTCAGGTTTTTCTCTTTGTATAAAGATAATTTTATGCTAATTTGTATGACTGAGTATAATTAACTTATAATTTAAAATGTTGACATTCAGATTTTATACACCGCTATTGTTTCAGTTTTCAAATGACAGATTTTTTTCTTTTTTATTGGGTTAAGTAAAATACACAACAAAATTTACTGTCTTAACCATATTCAAGGGCACAGTCTGGTAGGATTAAATGGATTCACACTGTTGTGTGGCCATCACTACCACCTATCCCCATAATTCTCTCTGTCTTGTAAAACTGAAACTCTGTACCCATTATATCATAATTCCCCTTTCTCCCCTCCCTCAATGCCTTGCAACCACTGTTTTATTTTCTGTCTCTACAGAATATTACTATGCTAAGTACCTCATATAAGTGGAACCATATAGTATTTATCTTTTTGTGACTGGCTTATTTCACTTAACATAATGTGTTCAAGGTTCATGTTGTAGCATGCAGAATTTCTTTCCTTTTAAAGAATGAGTAGTATTCTGTTGTATGCATATATCACATTTTGGCTTAACCATTCATTTGTTGATGGACATGTGGGTTGCTTCCATATTTTAGATCTTGTGAATAATGCTGCAGTGAACATGAGTGCATCTTAATATTTTCCATGACCATGATTTCAGTTCTTTTGGATATATACTCAGAAATGGAGTTGCTGGGTATTTCTATTTTTGAATTTTTTGAGGAACCTTAATTCTGTTTTCCATGGCTCCACCATTTTACATTCCTACCAACCATGCACAAAGGTTCCATTTTCTCTACATCCTCGCCAACACTTGTTTCTTTCTATTTTTTTGATAGTAGCCATCCTATTAGGTGAGAGGTAGTATCTCATTGTCGATTGGATTTGCGTTTTCCTAGTGATTGGTGCTGTTGAGCATCTTTTCATATACTTATTGGCCATTCCTGTATCTTCTTTGGAGAAATGTTTATCTAAGTCCTTTGTCCATTTTTGGATAGAGTTGTTTGGGTTTTTTATTGTTGAGTTTTAGAAGTTCCCTCTATTGTGGGTATTAATTCCTTGCCATATACATGATTTGCAGATGTTTTCTCCCATTCTGTGGGTTGCATTTTTACTTTGTGGATAGTGCCTTTTGGTGTACAGAATTTTAAAATTTTCATGAAGTTCCGTTTGTCTGTTTTTGTTGTTGTTGTTGTTGTTGTTTATATGCCTTTGGTGTTCTATTCGAGAAAGCACTGCCAAATCCGGTGTTGAGAAGTTTTTGTCCTATGTTTTATTCTAAGCATTTTATTGTTTTAAGTTACATTTAGGTAACCTGATCTATTTTGAGTTAATTTTTATATGGTGTTAAGTAGGGGTTCAACTTCATTCTTAAGCATGTGGATCTCCAGTTTCCCCAGCACCATTTATTGAAGAGACCGTCCTTTTCCCATCTAATGGTCTTGGCACCCTTGTCAAAATCATTTGACCATATACATGGGGATTTATTTCTGGGCTCTCCTGTTCTGTTCTATTCTATTGACCTGTATGCCTGTGTTTATGCCATTCTGTACTGTTTTGATTGCTGTGGCTTTGTAGTCAGTTTTGAGATAAGGAAGTATGAGTCCTCCGGTTTTGTTCTTCTTTTTCAGGATTATTTTGGCTATTCATTGTCACAGATTCCATATGAATTTTAGGATGGGTTTTTCTATTTCTGTGAAAAAGGTCATGGGAATTTTGACAGATTTCATTGAATTTTAGATGACTTGGGTTAAAATATCAATATTGAGTCTTCCAATCCATGAACATGGATCTTAATTAACTTATAATTTAAAATGTTGAAATTCAGGGAAGCCTGGGTGGCTCAGTTGGTTAAGCATCTGTTTTCGGTTCAGGTCATGTCCTAGTGTCCTAGGATCATCCTAGGATCCTCAGGCTCCCTGCTTGGCAGGGAATCTGTATCTACCTCCCTCTGCCCTTGCACTCTTACTGATATGCCCATGCTCGCTCGCTCGCTCTCTCTCTCTCAAATAAAATAAATAAGTAAATAAAATTTTAAAGTTGAAATTCACATTTTATATGCTGCAGTTGTTTCAGTTTTCAAATGACATTTTAAATAAAAATGCTGGGGCACCTGGGTGGCTGAGTGGGTTAAGCCTCTGCCTTCAGCTCAGGTCATGATCTCGGGGTCCTGGGATCAAGTCCCGTGTCGGGCTCTCTGCTCAGCAGGGAGCCTGCTTCCCACTCTCTCTCCTCCTGCCTCTCTGCCTACTTGTGATTTCTCTTTGTCAAATAAAAAAAAAAAAAAAAAAAAATCTTAAAAATAAATAAATAAATAAATAAATAATGCTAACAATAAAATTGGAGATTAGTGCCCTGTGACTGGATTCCATGCATAGAATTCTGCTCTTCACCATGTTAATGCTTACATATAAATTTAAATACATATAAACATAAATATAAATTTAATATGTAAGTATATGTTCCTTTGCATGATATTGAATGGTACTTAGTAATATTGACTAGTGTTAACACTGTTACGATAGTTATACTGGAATTTGCTTTTAGAATAAGGTTGGGGTGCATGCTATAAACTAAACTGCAAGTGAGGTTGTGTCTAATATATGTGCAATATTTTTGGTTATTAAATCCCTTTAAGTGAGGTCTCAAACTTTATTAAATTGATTATGTTCTACAATGGAAATGTTCTAGTATGTTATCAGTATCTTTGTACGTATTTAATAAATATATCGTGAGTATCTTGATATGCCAGGTATCAGTCTGGGTATTGTGGAGATAGGCAGTGAACAAGATAAAGTTCTTGCCCTGTTGGTAAAGACAGAACATATAAAGTCATGTAATAATAAGTACCATAAAAACCTCATCTACCCTTACCCTTAGTGTCAGGATGCCCCTGGTGCTGTCATTGTTTCTTCTCTTTTTTATCTGAACCAGCTCCTTTGGTGATCTCATTTAGTCCCAAAGGGTTACATACCATTTACATGCAAAAGATTCTCAGATGTATATCTTCAGCCTTGTTGTTCTCCAGCTGCCTGCTTGATACCTAATGGGGTCTAATACATGTCTGAGACCATACCATGTCCAAAAGTGAACTCCGGATCCCCTGCCCCAAACTGAATCCATCCATCGTCTCCCATCTCAGTTAATGCAACTCTTTTTCCAGTTCCCTGGGCGGGGGGGGGGGGGGGGGGGGGGGAGAACCTTGATACTATGTTTACATATACCCCTTCCAATCTGTAGTACATCAGTGAGTTCTGTTTTCAGACCAGATCCAGAATCTAACCACTTGTTGTGGTTTGTAACATACTATGCTTGTCCTCCGCATCATTGTGTCTCATCTGTATTCATTACAGCAGTTGCCTGCTCCTCCTCTTTCCTCTGTGGTCTGTTCTCCATGCGGCAGCTACAGTGTCCTTTTGAAACAGAAGCCAGTCATGTTATTTCTCTGCTCAGAACTCTCTTATTTTCCCATTTTGCTAAAGATAAAAATATTAAGTCCTTACAGTTTATTACAGGGCCCTTTTTGATGTCTTTCTCTCTACCTCTTTTCCTATCTCTGACCTCATCTTCTCCTACCCTGCTCTTCGATCCCTTACTGACCTCTTTGCTGTGTCCTGAAAATGCCAGGCGTGTTTCTGCCCAAGGGCTTCTGCTTCTGCCTGTAATGATCTTTCTTTGGAGAGATGTATACTGGCCTTCTCATCTCCTTTGAAGTTTTTGCTTAAAAGTCAGCTTTTCATCGGGAACTTCCTTTGTTATCTTATATAAATTATACTTCCTCCTTCTATACGTATACCTTGCTTTATTCATTTGTTCCATAGAACCGATCACCTTCTAATGCACTGTACCATTTGCCTAGCAGCTGAGATGGCACTTTAGGGGATGGGGTCTGTCACGGGTGCATCGATGTTCTGCTGTCTGATTGTGGGCAGTGTTGAGACTGTCTGACACATAGTTCTGAAAGATTTTTGCCTGCATGTGCATGGTCAAAGCAGATTATAACACTAGTGGCAAATGACACCAAAAAATTACTTTAGAATTAAACAGAATTGTGTTTAGTCCCTAGAATTTTTCCAGTACAGCTCTTTGGATTATAGAAGCCCTGGAAATAGTAGATTTGAATTTGCAATGTAAATTAAGTTGCAACTTTTAAATATTTAAATTAATTGTCAACATGCTAAATGTTTCACTTAGTATAATAGTACACATCTATTAATTTTAGAATGTTTTTATATTTTTTTTACAGGACGATTACTGAGAGCCAATCAGATTAGTTTCAACTGGGACAGGCTTGCTAGCTGGATCAACCTTACTGAGCAATGGCCTTACCGAACTTCATGGCTCATATTATATTTGGAAGAGACTGAAGGTATTCCAGATCAAATGACATTAAAAACCATCTATGAAAGGTACTTTGTCTGGCCTCTTGATATTTCACTTTATTTTAGATTGAGTTAGTTATAAGTTATAATTTATAACTTACAGTTATAAGTTAATGCATATAAAGCAAAGTGAATACAAAATAATATGCATGAAATGTATACTTCTGGATGGATTCAACCATTCTCATTAATTCCATTATAATTTTGGAGTCATGTTAGCACAGGTAAATATCTAATGTAAAATTTACATCTTCAGTTGGACATAGTCTTTCCTTTTCAGTGTAACTTACATGGTAAAAAAAAGTTAATAGTTCTATTAGTTTTGTGTATTTGTACATACAAAATGCAAATCTTGAAATATTATTTCCATTTTATTTTTTATTCTAAGTGTCTTCATTGAATATTAAGGAGGTTAAATTTTTTAAGTCATTAGTGCAGATATTTTCAGTTTTGTATCTGGAGGATTTTTGAAACTGAATATAAGCTGGAAAACATTCTTTGCATTAAACAGTAATTTATTGTTACTTTAAGCTCAGTGATTTGAAGTACTTCTAAAATTGATAAATTTTTCTTAAATAACATGCAGTTAAGGTTCAGTGAAATGTCAGGTATGTGAAGTTTTAAGAGTTGACAATTTACCAATTCAGAAATGAAGTTAAAATCCTTTTTGTCAGAATACTTAATACCTTCAGTGTTCAACTGCTGCTTGAAATAAATTTCCCTTAGAAAACAAATAGTACCAAGAAATTAGACAATTTTATAAAACTTGGTGTCACTGAAACAATTATTTTAACATATAAATGAAATGCTAACTCTAACAAAGCATTTAGTATATAGTTCCTATATTAAAACTTCTGAGATTACAAAAGTTTTTTCTTAAAGTACCGTCAACATATGGTTTTTCCTGATTTTTCAATACCCATATTTTATATATATATATATATATTTTTTTTTTTATTTATTTCTTTGACAGAGAGAGATCACAAGTAGGCAGAGAGGCAGGCAGAGAGAGTGAGAGGGAAGCAGGCTCCCTGCCGAGCAGAGACCCCTGATGCGGGACTTGATCCCAGGACCCTGAGATCATGACCTGAGCTGAAGGCAGTGGCTTAAACCACTGAGCCACCCAGGCGCCCCAATCCCCATATTTTTTAAAGCTTTTATTTACTTTAGAGAAGGGGGAGGGCAAGAGAATGAGGGAAGGGCAGAGGGGGAGGGAGAGGACACTCAAACAGACTCCATGCTGAGTGCAGGGCCCAATGCGGGGCTCCACTTCAGGACCCTGAGATCATGACGAGCTGAAATCAAGAGTTGGTTGCTTAACCAAGTGGACCATGGAGGGGCCCCTCCCCATTTTTCATATATGTATTTTTTTAAATCCTAGGTAAATAACTAGCTTTAGGATTACAGAGAATGGTGTGGTAATAGTCTACAGATAAGAACTCTTCTTGGTTTTGCTGTTTAATTTATACTAAAGTTGTTTAAACCGTGTGCTCTATCCAGTAAGTGTTCCAGCAGATGGCAGTGATACATAATGGCCACATGCTGTAGATAAGTGGCACTGAGTTGCTTCTGCTCTTTGATATTTTAGAAATTGTCTTTTTCTTATAAGATATACGATTGGTTTTTCTCTTGGTTGTGTAGAAAAATATTGTTTTATTTCGTGAATAAGTTTTACATCATAACGTGTTGTGTAGTTATGATTGTTTGCTAGATGAGTACAGTTATTATTCAGCAGTTAAAATTGAACTTTTTTAATGTTTTAACTTCTTAATTATAATTCATACCAATATAATGGGATTTATTCTTCACATGGTGTATTTTTTACACAAAGTGCTAAGTAGCATGGACAGGTGGTCCTTTGGCACTTCAGCTTATCCTTGAGAAATTATTTGTGTGTAAATAAAAATATGTCTGAGAAAGGACTGAGCGTTCATTTAGGAACTATAAAGGGGATTCTTAGAGTCTGTGAATCGGTATTGTTGCTAGAGTAGTGCAGTCGGGTTCAGGAAATTTGAAATGCGGGCAGCAGGAGAGCGGCTTCTCTCACAGGGGTCCTCCGTAAGGAGGAGGGGTCGCTCCTCACCCGCGTTTTCTCCTTCTGGCGCGTGTGTCTCTAGCTCTCTTCCTCAGGCACCAGGTTCTCTGCCGGGGCCTTAGTTCTCTCGCAGCTTGAGAAGGCTCGGTGGTTAGAGCAGTTCCTTACTAACAAGGATTGTGCTTCAGAAAGTTGAGGTCGCTTCCCAAAGTCGCTTAGCTCGTAAGTAGCAGAGCTCTTTCCACCCAGGCCTCTCAGAGACCGTAAACTACTTTCGTGCCTGTCACTGTTCTCTACGCGTTAACACCTTTTATTCTCACAATCTGTGAAGCCGTGTTGTGGTTCTTATTTTACACCTGAGCGAATCGAAGCCCAGACAAGGTGAGTCCCTTCCTGAACGTCTCACAGCCGCTGAGCGGGAGAGCCGAGTAGCTGGCTGCAGAGGCCACCTGCAGAGGGCGCTGCCGCTCACAGCCCTGCAAAGCGTCGGAATTTTCTTTAGCAGTAGCCCCGTCTGGGATACTTGAGACACTGAAAGTTTATGATGAAAATGAAGTGTCTGAAGTTTTTACATTTCTGTGTTCTCCATTTCCTTCTAGAATATTAGAAGATAGTAATACTCTGTGTAAGACACAAGATGTTTAATATAAATGGTCTTACTCCAGTGACAACTCACCTATTAAGCAGGCATTGCTATATTATTTTTTTCTACAGTTTTTCTTTGCCTTCGTAAAAACATCAGCTTTCTCTAAGATAACCTAATAAGTATTACATTTTTCCGTTGTTCTTCCATCCCCCTTCCCCCCCACCTTTAACCAAATAAATATAGTCCATGTCAGTCTGTGGTTTGGGTAAAGAAGGGACTCCGGTCAGGCTTTTTACCTTCCTTTAGTCGAGTATATTGCTTAGAAGTACACTGTGTCTCAGGATTACAGAAACACTAATCAACTTTTTACATGTCAAGGGCCGTGTGCTTGAAGTCTCAGGTGCTGGGCCTTCTACATGTTCTATGAAGAAAGTGGGAAGTGGTGAAAGTCTGGGTCCCCAGGAGACAGAAGCAGGAGAGTTGTGACAATAAATAAAAGTTTTTTTTTTTTTTAAGCTTTTATTTATTTATTTGACAGACAGAGATCACAAGTAGGCAGAGAGGCAGGCAGAGAGAGAGAGGCAGAACCAGGCAGAACCAGGCTCCCCGCTGAGGAGAGAGCCCGACGCAGGGCTCGATCCCAGGACCCTGGGATCATGACCCAAGCCGAAGGCAGAGGCTTTAACCCACTGAGCCACCCAGGCGCCCCAAATAAAAGGTTTTTAAAGTCCTCAAAGAAATTCATATTTCAGTTCAATCCAACAAAAATATATTAAGTGTTTATTGTTTGTGGGTCTGCTGCTGGTTGCTGGAGATACAGTGCTGAATAGGTACATGTATATTTGCTTTCAGTCCAGCGATCCCACTTGCAGAAATTTACTCTGAGTGTACACCACAAATAACAAAACCCTGCGGCTTAAGCATACATGTATAGGAACGTTGGTTGAGTGGATTTTAGCACATGCACCCTAATACCTTATAACTGTAGAAAAGAATGAGGAGAAACTCTGTGATTGATATGGAGGAATTTTCAGGATGCGTTAAGTGAAAATAGCAAAGTGTGAAAGAACGTACAACATGATAGTGTTTATATAAGAAAGAAGGAGGAATAAGAACATTTGTATATAAATAGGTAGGTATTCTTTTATTGTAAAAATAGAAAACAAACTCTGAGGAAGGGTAAACCAGATCCTGGTGAGAATCCTTGTCTGTCGTGGATGCACAGATAGGAGATGAGGCCTCTCTTCGTTTTCATGTGGTTGGACTCTCCTCTTTATTCCAAAATAAAGAGGATGGATAAAAGCAAATCCTAGTATCAAATGAAAACAGAAAGAAATGATCCTAACTGTATATGACATTGATAACATAACCACACAGAGAAAATAATTAATTCAATCACCTTTGAACTTAGTATTCTGACTCTTTATTCTTAGTAGAATATATCCTAAGGACAGAATTAACTGCAAAGAAATCTTGAGCTTGTTGTTGGTAATAGTATTGCGATTATACCTTTGAAATCCTTTTGAGCATATTATAAGAGTAAGTGAATAAATAAATAGATGTTTTGGGGAACTAGTATTTTTCCCTTGGGAGAAAGGAGATGCAAATATTGAATAATAATTATTTGTTGCTTTGTTAACATTTTAACTTAAGGATATAGTTTAAATTAAATGTATCCAAGAACTGTACTTCTTAGTAAACTCATCTAATTTCAATAACCTTTACGCACATGCTTCATGTAGTTGAGAATCATTATGTATATAAACATAGCTTTATTGAAGGCTTAAAAAAAAACAATGTTTTGTTTCATGGTGGCAGAGTGAATCACAAACCACGCTTGGTTCATTGATCCATTCTAATGTCAGTACCAGTAACTTTAAAACATATGAAGCAAATGGATGCAGGAGGGGCAGCGCTCACTAGTGTGTTAAGAAGTGAGATCTAGAAATTGCTAGGAGGCCAAGTTAGCTATCTCAGACCCTACAGGAAGGAAATAAGATGGACAGTCCATCAAGGAGGTCAAGTATGATCAGAATATGCAATTCTGGGGTTAGTAAATTTTTCAGGTGAAATCACATAGATCCTAAAAAGTCCACAGTGTCCAATTTCTTTGTAGAGAATTTCTTATTCCTGCATGTTACACCAGATAGAAGATGCTGAGCATGTTTGTGTGAGACAGAGCTTTTAATTTATTGTTGGGTAGTACTTTAAATTAGAAAGTACTAGTTTTGGAGTTTCCTGTTTAATCTTTGCTGGGATAGTGGCAGGAAGACGAAAGATACAAAAAGGAGAGGAGCAATTTGATCTCATTTTAGATACTATCATTTGAACATAACATGTTTTCCTAAAGTCTTGCCTCTTCTTTTCTTTCTTTTCTTTTCTTGAAGAAACCAAGATGAGTAGGAG